AACAGGCTGTGTGTCCTTGGTAGTCTGACACCTTTTACAAGCCCTACACCACTGCACTACTTCAAACCTGGCCAATAACATTGCTGCTGCATCGCTTTGGTGGTATGATGGACACTTTGGTGCCCATGTCCTTGGGGCACTTGTTTGAGGACCTCGCTACGCAAAACAGAAGGTAAAATTAGGTGTAAATTTACCTCACATTCCGGTGACTGAAAAGTCTGATGATACAAGTCAACTGCCTATGCTCCAGGGATATAGGGTGCTTACCTGGGCAGAAATTACATGGCCCCATTAACTCACTTGATGCAGCTTTTAAGCCCTCTCATTCCCATCGACTTAAGACTATTTCTAGATGCTCCGTATGTTGGGTCAGAAGAGGAGAACACCACAATGGCATCCAAATCGAGAAGAAGAGACCTACCCTGTTAATCCCCAAACATTTATTCCATTAAACACTGAAACGTGCCTGGGGTATTGCAGAGCCCAAACAGCATTCAGTTCCACTCAAATTGACAGAGGTCAAAACTATCTAGTGACGAGAACCTGATTCCATCCACATGCTAAACTCTCAGGAGCCCTGTGCACACAGTCTGCTAAGGTCGCTTAGGCTAGCCCTAAGTGGGCCCATAAAGGACCAGTGCAGGCTTTTTTGCAGGCTAGCAACACTAGCTTTATTATTTGCCTAAATGTTTGTGGCTGGTCTGTAAATTTAAGAAGGCTGTTAGAGTATGAGGGCATCACAGTGGCTTAGTAGTTAACATGATTGTCTTACAGCAAGAAGGTCACTGGTTCAAGTCCCAGCTGGACCAGTGAGGATGGCTATATCTCTCCATAATATTAAACCCTGAAAACTGTTATGGAACTCCACACGAGACAAGACCACGAGAATGGTCAGGCACTAAAGCAATAAACTTTCTAATCTAAGAAGAAGATCAGCTAGGAAACCAGCTGTTCAGGTTATCTCAATCATGCATCCTGAGCCCCCCTCTTTGCCCTGGACTTTACCTTCCCCATCAGAGCAGATAACTCACAGAATGTCTAAGTTTGTAATATGGTGTATCTTGTGGCTTTATATTCATGTTTGGTTTAATTTTGAATGTCTCTGTGTGATTGGTAAAGTGGTCTTAATTTCAATGTAATATTTTACAATCTCTCTTATATCAGTTAATTTGGGTTTTGACTTTGATAAGATCTTTGCCAGATGCTCCACTCCAGGGAAAAGGGTCTTCGCATCAACTCATGACCAGGCAAGAGTCTTGGTGAAGCTTTTATTGTCTTGAATTTATGATGATTTGAGTATTTAGGCAAAGGGTGCAGAAGTGTCTGGGGGATCCTGTATAAGACTATAATACTTATATGCTGCAATGTATTTCTACATGGTCAGGTATTCATCTCTAATTCTTAAATGCATCTTTGAGTAACTGATGTTGTACAATCTTGATTGGATTATTTTGTTTAATCATGTAAATTGGAATGGAAAATCTTTGCCTGACAAATAAATGCAAGATTATTGTTTAACTCTAATATCTCCCGAAATCATTTAAATCTAGTAGATTGTTTAGGCTGATGTTTCCGCAGCCTACGTCCAGGATTAGTCATACATTCAGGCTCAATGGATGAAGCATGGGCACAGCATTAGAGACCAGATGATTCCTGACAATCACTGACTTAGTATGATATAATCTAGGGGCTAAATCAAACTTTCTTTAAGTATGTGAAAGCATGGGGTGGCCTATTATTGCTTAAAGGAAGTTAGCTAGTTATATTCTTTGATTAAGTTAAATCAATAGTAAATGTAAGTAAAAAGTAGTAAAAAGTAAAATCTGTAGAAAATACGCACCCTGATCTGATGTGGAAGAAACAGGCAAACTAAATTTATAGGTTTTTTGGCACACAAAAGTGTTCTTGGAGCTTTTTTTAATTACAGTTGAACCACTGAAGTTAGATGGGATGTTTTGTCAATGTCTTTGGATCATTTTCTGATCTTTTAATGTCACACAATAAAAGCATCGAGGCATCTAGGATGTTAAGTTCAACGGTAGCTTTGTAGGCACATTAAGAACATGTGATTTTATCTAGTATGAGTACATTTGGGCAGTCAGTTTCAAATGTCAGCAACAAATCGTTATTGCCCTCTTGTGGACTACATTATTATAGACATTTAAAGAATAGTTGGTAATAATTGTGATGTCATTGTCACCTCCATGTGATTTTAACCTCCTATGACTTTCAACACTTAACTTGTGTGTCACTTAACATCATGACATCCCACAAAAACCAATGAGGTTTGGAGTGTGATGTGTGACCATTTGAGCTGTTACCTGACTGCATTGAAGAAATAATTATTATTTATGTATAGGGTATGGCCTGTGCTAACGATTTATAGTGTTTAGCATTTGATGTGACAGTGGCTGACTGTCCGACCCAGGGCAGGAATGTAAGGACAGCATTTATTCATTAAGCACAGATTGTAGATACACAGATAAACAGCTAATGAATCATTTGATAAACATGCAATGAAATGAATCTAGATTTTATAGTGTAACCTTTTGTTATGTCATAACACTCATTAACACACCATACACTATATAGAACACTTGTAATTAAACTGTAGGCTTGGCTCTAATGGTCACTATATGAAAAAAAACATGCATATACAGTTGAAACCAGAAGTTTACATAAACTGTATAAAAAGGCAAATAACCATTAAAAAAAAAAAAAAAAAAAAAGGTGTTGATGTGGCTAAACTTTTTCTCTTTTAGGTAAGTTAGGATTATCAAATGTGTTTCTGTTATGCTCAATAGTAGAATAATGAGAGATATTTTTTTTTGAGAAATTGCTATAACTTTTCTTAAAGTCAAGTTTGAATACAATAAGATTATTATGCCTCTGAAAAAGATGATGGTGTTGAGGTTTTGGAAGTTTCTGATTGGCTAATTGACAACATTTGAGTTAATTGGAGGCACAACTGTAGAACAGTATTTAAGCAAAACCTCAAACGCACTGCTTCCTTGTGTGACAACATAGGAAAATCAACAAGCCAGAATCAACAACAATGGCAGATTACAATTAGCTAAATCACACTGGGAAAAAGACTAATTTTTGGAGACATGTGCTGTGGTCTGATGGAACTAAGATTAAATTGTTTGGCCATAATGACCAGTGTTACATTTGGAGGACAAAGGGGAAAGCTTACAAGCCTAGGAACACCATCTGTGAGGCATGGGGGCAGCAGCATCATGTTGTGGGGCTGTTTTGCTGCAGGAGGGGCTGGTCCACTTCACAGCATAGATGGCATCATGAAGAAAGAACAATATGTAGAAATCCCTAAGTAACATCTCAAGACATCAGCCAGGAAATTAAAACTTGACCACAAATGCGTCTTCCAAACAGAACATGACCCTAAGCATGCTGCTAAATTAGTTAAAATGTGTTTTAAGGATAATGTTTTGGAGTGGCCTTCACAAAGCCCTGATCTCAACCCTATAGAACATTTGTGGGCACAGTCGAAAGTGCTTGTGCGAGCAAGACAGCCAACAAATCTGACTCAGTTACACCAGTTCTGTCAGGAGGAATGGGCCAAAATTCCTTCAAACTATTGTGAGAAGCTTGTGGAAGGATACCCAAAACATTTGACCAAAGCTATATGGTTTAAAAGCAAAGCTAAAAAAATACCAAGTAAATGTATGAAAACTTTTGACTGTCTAGAAATTAATAAAAAATTCTCAAAAAGAAATTTTCTCATTAATCTGGCATTTAGCAAATGTAAATCATTTAGGTAATCCTAACAGACTTAAAATAGTAAATGTTTAGTATGATTTACCATTAGACATAAAAAAATGGTTATATAAATGTTCCTTTTTTAGAGTATATGTAAACTTTTGATTTCAACCGTATTAACAGTTGATATATATACCAACCCACAGTTGATATAAAACCAACCCACCTTCTTGGACTTTGTGCAACAGGTCTCAGGTTTAAAACAGGTCAGTAAATGATGACAGAACTTCACATAAGAGAAACAACTCTTTTAATGGACTCTCCTTAATCTTGGCCACTGAGCCCGCCCTTCTCTCCTTCTTCATAGCCTCTCCTGAGTTCCTTGTTCTTCAGATACCATCTTCAGAGGTTACTACAACAGCCCAAAATCTGAGGCCCTTGAGGAGGATTGCCTACTTTTAAGAAGGGGTAAATAATATCTCTTGCTCTTTTTCAGGTAGAGCTTGACTTTACCAGGTATATTGTCTTTAACTTTAATCATGAGATTTGACCAGTCATAGATCAAAGTTCCTGAAATTAGTTTTCCTCACAGGTTTTCTTGAGTAACGAAGCCATCCCAGCAGGCACAGGATATCAATATGGCGTCAGATCGATGTTGTACCTCAATGTCATGGGATGTTGCATATTGTTTGGAAATTAAAATTCGGGTCGACGACAGAACCCAACATCAGGCCGATGTCAATTTCCAATGCCGGACAGATTTTGCATTTTGGTTACTTTCCAACGCAACCCAAAATCCAGCAAATATCAACGTCTATTGATGTTACAGCTTGATGTTGTGTGGACGTTACCTCTATGACGTCTATGAGATGTTGGATTTTGGTTGCCATAACTGATTAATAAATGTCAGTTTTTGACATCAATATGACTTTGGTTTAAGATGTTGGCTAGATGCTGGATTTTGGTCACTTTTCAACACAACCTAAAATCAACCAAATATCAACGTCATTTCACATCATTATTGGACGTCAAAATAACATTGTCCTTGAAGCTGGTGACCTACATCTAACCTCATGTTATCATCTTGATGTTGTGTGCCTGTTGGGATTTCTCCACACCTGAAGGATCTTGTGCATCAGATGCTCTTTACTGGTCTCACTTGCACACAATAAATGTTCATCAAAAGAAAAAACAAACATGCAAAGTAAACAATACATTAAGCAATACAAATATTCAAATAGCTAAATAACTGTACTTAAAGAAAACATCATGACTTTGGCTTCGATTAATTTGAAGGTTTTATGCAGAATGGAGAGTATTACAAGAAATGAAAAGAAAAAGAACAGAAAGCACTTGATTTTCACTCTTTACTTTAAAACATAGCACATCATTACAGCTAACAATATGTAAATTCATACTAAACATTCATAAGAAAGTAAATAAGGAAGTGCATTATTACTGAACACCAACAGATTATATAGTTATGAATAAATCACATAACTGCTTAGGTGTATCTATAGATATGAGCATATGTCATACAAACCCAGTTTTCACATCCCATGGTTTCTTACATTGTCTACTTTGTGCCAAACGTAGCCTTCTAATTTACCGATTAACAATAAATGAATGTATATGTATGTAGCCTATTTAAAAAAGGGTTTCTTTTATAATGTTTGACCCTGCTGAACAACTATTTCCTTTCATGATGTCAGTTGTCCTTAACAGTAAACACAAGGGTTAAGTCATTGAATTCAGTCACACAAACGATTGTTAAGACATTATTAATAAACATTTTTTGGGTCATTGCCTGACCAGATCACTTTCAAAACATTTATTTCAGAAGTAAATGTCACAGATGTTCTATTACTTGGAATGGCCATCACTACTTCCTCAACCGCAACTTATTTACCCAATATAGGCTCACTCTGAAAATGTACCCTATATACATTTCTGGAGATCTTGAATTATGTAGCCAGAAGAACGTATGGCTGCATTTTGTCTTTATAACAAATGATACAAGGTGGTATGATGGCATTCCTTTCCACGCAAGCAGCTGCCCGTTGACCTCCACGTGGACGGCTTTCCCGCTCTTATCAATTTGTCCAGTGGCTCACCGGGTATGTTGGTGGACTAGAGATAACGAGAGTAACTGACATCGATGACGGTGTTAAAGTCCGATTAAGAACAGTTCCAGAAAGTGGGTAGGACAAAAACAAAATCATTTATTTTCTTGTCGGCTTAGTCCCTTTATTAATCTGGGGTCGCCACAGTGGAATGAACCGCCAACTTATCCAGCACGTTTTTAAGCAGTGGATGCCCTTCCAGCCGCAACCCATCTCTGGGAAACATCCACAAACACTCATTCACACACACTCATACACAACGGACCAATTCACATGTACCACATGTCTTTGGACTGTGGGGGAAACCGGAGCACCCAGAGGAAACCCACGTGAACGCAGGGAGAACATACAAACTCCACACAGAAATGCCAACTGAGCCGAGGATCGAACCAGCGACCTTTTTGCTGTGAGGCAACAGCACTAGCTACTGCGCCACTGCTTTGCCCCAAAAACAAAATCCAAAATCAAAAATTTAGGTAAGTGGGTGGGTGTTGGTCAATCGGTGCTTTTTAAAACAGTGTCGTTTGGGTTTAGGGAAAGGCGTGGGTGGCATGATCAGTCGGTTGGTTGGTTAATGAGTCAGTCGCAAGAAGAGCAGGCACAATTGGCACTTTCAAGAGAAATTTGAGATCTCAAAAAGTGTACACAGAGACCTCTAGAGGATTTATGTGAGAAGAGCATGTGCGAACGGCACTTGCGAGAGAAATTTGAGATCTTAAAAATCGTACACACCGGTCTCTGGTGGATTTACATGAGAAGAGCATGGGTGAACGGCACTCGAAGAGAAATTTGAAATCTTAAAAAGTGCACACAGCGACCTCTGGTGGATTTGCGAAAACAAAAAATTGCAAAAAATGTACCTCCTGGATCGTATTCGGCGTTCTCCAGAAATGTACATACGGGTACGTTTTCAGAATGTATCTGGGTTGTATTTACCTATATTCAGAGTCTTTTTGAGTGAGCAAGTCCACCAGTATTGGGGGTTAGACTTTTCAAATGACAGCTATGGGGTCTGTCCTACTGCTCAGATGTTATAAATGTGCTGTTCTATAATTTACATTCATTTACTGAAAATATAGCAAACGGGCTGAAGATTTCATTTAGAGCTTCTTCTCATGAGCACACTATGAAGTCTTGGGCCATACGTCTATGGTTATGACATCTGGCGTTACACAAAAGGAAAATAACACAGATAATAAATTACCTAAAATAAAAAATATACATATGTGACTGTCAAAAAAACAAAAAGGTGAATTTTCTTGGCCTAAGACTCCTGCACATTACTGAATGTAAAATAACAAAGCACTTGCTCAATATTTGCCATGAACTACAATAATAAATAGTATCAGAGTAGCTATTACAAATCAACAACAGCAGATAAACAAACAAAAATATGATCAGAAAAAGAATACAATGTGTATGGATGGTTTCAGTGTGCTTACTGCAGAGTAAGTATATTATACAATCAAAAATAACTCCATTGGGAGGCAAATTCAAAAATCTACTTGACCTTTTTTCTCTTTTAGACATACAAAAACATCAATATTTATATGAAATGAGTTCAGTCAGTATCATACATTGTGAGTGATTCATTGAGGAGAGCGCAAGATACAAGATTGTGACACTTTCACAAATCTGGAATAATCTCATACTAAGAATTAAATTTAAAATCAGCTCGGTAAGTGAAAGGAATACCCTGTTTAGACTATTTGGCTGTGGAACAAATGTCTTTGATCAGCTGTTGACAAATGAGCACTGTATGCTGGTCAACTGAAGTTCGCCTTCAAAATAGCACAAGGCCAATATAATAGTGGTGAATGAGCACATCAGGGTTATGATTGTCAGTCAGTTTTCTCCGGATAGAGGTTTGTGGTGTGTTCATACAGTAGTCAATAAATACAAGAACTTCTCTGCTGGAACTATTTCTTCCCATTTTTTGATGTGAACTTATTAAAGTTTTGCCAGAATGGAGATTGTCCTGATTTGGAAACGTGGAATTCGACTAGATCTGATTGCTGCATGTCATCCGAGAGCACGAAGGGTCCGTGAGACGAGGGGTCCGAGGGAGACACGCACCTGCTCTGGCTCACACCTGCTCGGGAGAATTCAAAAGACAGGAAAAAAAAGAAGAGATGTTTGAGAATTGATGAAAACGTAGCCATCTGGAAGAAGCGAGCCAATGCTGAAAGCAAAATAATCAGTGCGCAGCTGTGATGAATCATGCTTCAAAGCATACAGAACATCCCTTAATCAATGCACCATGGTAAATAGCCACATTTTCCACCTAAATACCATAGTTAATAAAAAATAGCCACTTCTGCTTTGATGACTTGCAGTCACATTTAAATTTCTCAGCAAATAAACGATGGTGAGGTACATCTTAAAATTACCTTCACTTTTTTTCTGAGCCGATTTTTTGCAATCCGCTAGTGTCTAGGGGAGAGCGGGGACGAAAGTAGCAAATTGATTTTCTCAAAGCCCTGACAACATTCGCTTTCCAGCCTGTAACAGCACATTCTGCATGCAACCCTTGATGGAGCTGCCAAATATCCCGCTGTTAGCTCCAAATTTCAGTTTCAAGTGCAGCAAGTAAATGATTGTAGTGGTTCTTTTTGTTCCTTTTTTACAAGTTGTGTTTCTCTTCTCATGTGTCAGACTAATGATCAATCTACAGGTTATTTAGTGCAATAAGACATCCTTAAGATTGCATGTTTGAGCTTTTTTAGTTTAATAGTAGATCAGGTTTAAATGGCAAGAGTTCCTGTGAGGAAGAACATATTTATGTCCCATTGCTAATATTGATACCTTATTTTTCACTTCCACATTAGAGCTTGCAGTGTTTGGATTCAGATGCTTTATAAAATTCCAATAATAATAATAAAAAAAAAAAATCAAAAATTGAAGAAAATTAACATTTTGCATTTTTAAATTTAAAATAAAAATGCCGTAATATTTTGGCGGGACAAAATATGTTTGCAGTTAACATTAACGAGGTCAAAATCAGATGTATTTCAAATAAACAAGATTAAGCCAGTAAATCTAGCAAATATTGTTGTTACTTTCAATCCTGCCGACAGTCAAAAGTTACTTTTGTTTAAAGGGAAGTTATATTGGAGTTGTTCTACACTGATACAAAATAACACCTGATTTTCAAAGACCACTCTTGTGAGTTATTTACCTCAGCAATAATACTCTCACTGGCCACTTTATTAGGTACACCTTACTAGTACTGGGTTGGACCCCCGTTTGCCTTCAGAACTGCCTTAATCCTTTGTGGCATAGATTCAACAAGGTTCTGGAAATATTCCTCAGAGATTTTGGTCCATATTGACATGATAGAATCACGCAGTTGCTACAGATTTGTTGCCTGCACATCCATGATGTGAATCTAATCTATTGGATTAAGCTCTTGTGACTGTGGAGGCCATTTGAGTACAGTGTACAGTACAACTCATTGTTATGTTAAAAAAACCAGATCATTGGCACTTTATGACATGGTGCTTTATCCTGCTGGAAGTAGGCATCAGAAGATGGGTAAACTGTGGTCATAAATGGATGGACATGGTCAGCAACAATACTCAGGTAGGCTGTGACATTGAAAAGATTCTCAATGGATACAAATGGGCCCAAAGTGTGCCAAGAAAATATCCCCACACCATTATACCACCACCACCAGCCAGAACCGTTGATACAAGGCAGGATAGATTCATGCTTTCATGTTGTTGACGGCAAATTCTGACCCTACCATCTGAATGTCGCAGCAGAAATCAAGACTCATCAGACCAGGCAATGTTTTTCCAATCTTCTATTGTCCAATTTTGGTGAGCCTGTGCAGATTGTAGCCTCATTTTCCTGTTCTTAGCTGACAGGAGTGGCACCTGGTGTGGTCTTCTGCTGCTGTAGCCCATCCGCCTCAAGGTTGGGCGTGTTGTGTGTTCAGAGATGCTCTTCTGCATACATCGTTTGCGGTGGTGGAAAAAGTACTGAAAAATCATACAAGTAAAAGTACCATTACTTGCCTAACATGTAGTGCAAGTAGAGTAAAAGTATCTGTTGCAAATATTACTCAAAGTATGAGTAAAAAGTAGCCTTTTTAAAAGTACTCAAGAGTAGTGAGTATTAAACTGTAAAAAAGTATTTTTGCATTTACATGCAGTTTGTGCAGGGATGTGTAAATGTAACATTCCGTAGTGCAATTAGTGATCTTCGTATATTAGTTTGTTCCTTCCAACATTTCTTTCATTGTTTTTTTGTTCATTGTTGTTTTGTTTTGTTTTTGTTCAGTTATTCATTCATTCGTTCCTTCATTCGGTCCTTCCTTCGTTCTTCCCTTCATTTGATCGCTAGTTCATATTTTTGTTCCTTTCTTCATAAGGTCATTTGTTCAGTCGTTCCTTCTTTTCTTAGTTTGTTCAGCTCTTCCTTAAATTCTTATTTCATTCATTTGGTCCTTTGTTCGTTCGTTTATATTTTTTTCCTTTCTTCATTTGGTCCTTCCTTCGTGCCTCCCTTCATTTGTTCGCTCCTTCATTCGTTCTTTCGTTCATAATTTTTGTTCCTTCATTAGATCCTTTAATCATTCATTCGTTCCTTTTTTTTTTAGTTTGTTCAGTCCTTCCTTGAATCCCAACTTTATTCATTTAGTCCTTCCTTCATAAGTTTAGTCCTTCCTTCGTTCGGTCGTTCCGTTTGTCATTCCATTTCCATGAGTGGTTATTTGAGTTAATGTCTATCAGCTGAAACCAGTCTGGCCATTCTCCTCTGACTTTTCACCTAAACAAGTCATTTGTGCCCACACAACTGCCGCTCACTGGATATTTTCTCTTTTTCTGACCATTCTCTGTAAACCCTAGAGATGATTGTGCATGAGAATCCCAGTAGATCAGCAGTTTTTGAAATTACTCAGACCAGCCCGTCTGGCACCAACAACCATGCCAAGTTAGAGTCACTTAAATCACATTTCTTCTTCATTCTGATGCTCGATTTGAACTGCAGCAGGTCGTCTTGACCATGTCTGCATGCCTAAATGCATTGAGTTGCTGCCATGTGATTGGCTGATTAGAAATTTGCGTTAACGAGCAGTTAAACAGAGGTACCTAATAAATTAGCCAGTGAGTATATATTTCTGCTAAAACTGTTATCTTTAGAAATGAGGATTTTATGAAAATGGTACTTTGGACCCCGCTCTCTCCTATAGTATCCAAACCCTTCTTAGAACAACTGTATGCAACATTTAACTGTACATAACTCCAGTAACTATGGTATTTTGGCAGAATTTACCACAGTCATGACAAAATTAAGAAGTATGAACTACAGTCATACATGATTTTTAGCAATTGAAATATATATTTCTAACAACATGATATAAACATAACCAATAAATAGGCAGCTGTTTTTCTAGCAAAAAAGAAAGAAAAAAAGGTCCCATGGCATTTTGAAACACAATCTTTTTGAGTTGATAATAGTTAGAGATAGTTCAACCGAAACTAAAAAAATATATCATTATTTACTTTCCCTGTTCTAAAACCTGTTCAGTTGTTATCAAGTTGATCTTTCTTAGCAGTGCTTGTCATGATTTAATGATTTTAGATAAAACAATAGAAATTGTTACGGCTATACCAGGGTTAGTAAATAAGGAATGATAGTTTTTAGGTGAATTATCCCTTTTAACTTTAATGTCATTTTACTTGTTATAAAAAAAATCCCAAGATTCTTAGATAGTACACTAGCATAATTGCTTTTTCTAGTTGTATTTCAAAGTCGTTGCCATGCTGCTTTGTGGAAATAACTAATTCTACATTAAATGCTAATACAAAATACCTTTATCATTTTCATACCATGTCCATATAAAATGTCCCTCTTTCTCAAGATGATATCTATCAAAGAATCTGCAAATTCAAGAACATACTTCACCGTTTGTCAGTGAAGCATTGAGGATTCATAACAGAGAGTAAATATGACAAAAAATAATGACCTACTAATTTAATATATAGGAATTTCACTAAAAAGCAGATGTACTTTTTCTATATTTAAAATGACTCTAAACCAACTTTCTCTCAATAATAAAACAAATAGCTTAAAACAGATATCGAAGGGCCAAGCACAAACACAAAACATCCATTACAAGAAAATGAAATAGGATGTACAGTTGAAATAAGAATTTTTAAAACCCCCTTAGAATTGTGTTAATCTTTTTTTAAAATATTTCCTAAATGTTTAACAGAGCAAGGAAATTTTCACAGTATATCTGATAATATTTTTTCTTCTGGAGAAACTCTTTTGTTTTATTTTGGCTAGAATAAAAGCAGTTTTTAATAATAAAAAAAACATTTTAAGGTCATAGGCTGTATAGAAGTGTCTTGAAAAATATCTAGTAAAATATTATGTACTGTTATCATGGCAAAGATAAAATCAGTTATTAGAAAGGCCCACATGGAATCTGCGCACGCAGAATTCTGCAGATATTCCACAGGTTTCTGCAGATTTTTAGCCTAACATTATTTCTGTTTTTTTTTTTTTAACAATGTGTTTATTGTTTTTGATAATGCAAGACAGGTAACAGAAAAACACAATTCCATTTCGTCGCAATTATTTCCCACCCCAACAAAAGAACATCACTCTCTTCTCCCCTATATAAATACACAGAATTCTCTTACAAGAGATAATTTAAATGCAAAACAAATATTGTTAGGTACCCAAAAACCAAATATACATTACTGTACTGTACACATAAAATTTACAATATCTAACAAAACATAAGGAAACACACAAACAAAAAAATAAAAACACTATACTTAGTTACACCTCTTGTAATAAATGACCAATATTATTGTTGTTAATGTAGTAATTATACGGCTTCCATATTTCTTCATATTTATCCATTTTGTTTTTAATAAAATATGTTACTTTTTCCATAGCCATACACTGTGCCATGGCATTAATCCAAGTTTCAATAGATGGTGGATCAGGTCTTTTCCAGCTAAGAGCTATCATTCTTTTAGCTTGTAATATAGCATAATCATTATTTCTGTTCATTTAATTCAGTAAATGTGTGTAAATCTATATTTATTCAGTTTTTAAATTAATTTCAGT